GGAATGCCAGTTAGATCCCATTTCTTCTTGAGGAAAGTGTCTAATTGCTTTCACTTGCGACCCAGGCTCCTAGCATTGATGCAGAAGCGACTGCAACATCGCTTCTCTCATATTGCTCCCCTCCAAACGACCAAGAAAACATTCACGGCCAGGGCTGGAAGTTTCTTCTCACTTCCCCAGCACTGCAGAGTCTGTACGTTATTCACGAGCCCGTGTTCCAGCAGGGCTCCCGCCCGCCAGAGGACAGGGGGGATGAAAAGCAGCGGCAGAGGGGTGAAAGCCCCGTGTTCCAGCAACGCTCTGCCCCACGGCCTACCTGAGCGAGGGTCGATTGCGGTTAGTAACTCCGGGTTCCCGATGACAAGGCAGCCCGGAGACTCAGCCCCGTCCAGCTTCTCAATGGCACACTCCATCCAGAGCAAGTCTTCGGTGGCAGGCCTCTCCCAGAGCGTGCTGCCATTGGTGCCTGAGACAGCAGCTACGAAGGCACATGGAGCGGAAAGGCCTGAGGAGACAACACGTTGCAGAGGAAAGAGTATGTCCCGTCCTCCATCTGTCCATGCACACAACCAGTTCCAGGGGGGGAGGGAGGAGATATAGCATGTCCCCCACCCCTGCCATGGCCTGGGGACATGGGCGGCTGGTAACATAGGCAAGGCAAGGCACAGCCTTCCCAAAACTGCCTACATGCCCAGCCGCCTACAGCTCGGTTGCCACAGCCCCATCCCACCCCGGCAGCCTAGCTCAGCAGCCCAGTTTTCCCCAGCTGCCAGGGAGGGATGGGGTCATGGTGCGGCATCTGGCTTCCCCCAGCTGTCGGGGAGGGATCGGGCCAGGGCTGCAGCATTACAGCCCTGGTTCTACACATGGCCAGGAAGGATCAGGTTGGGGGTGGGTGCTGGCTCCAGGGGAGGTATGGCCAGGAAGGATCAGGTTGGGGGCGGGTGCTGGCTCCAGGGGAGGAGCCTCGGGTGAAAGGGGAAAGGCTGGAGCTTGCCTTCCCCAGCTGGGCTTTCACCCGCCCCCCATGCTTGGGGAATAGTGCTTCCGGCTTTGGGACAGAGGAGACAGCAGGGGGGCTCGGCACATCCTGCATGGACATCACACGCTAGTCTCTTGGGAGATCTATTCCTTGTCTCTGGTGAGGACCACTCCCCCCAGCCCAGGGGTCCCTGTCTCAGCAGCATGACCGACCAACCCTCCGAGAAAGCACACGCCTCACCGCCAGGCGTCTGTCTGCTCCTGCTCAGTTGCCATTACCTTCATCCGAGCAGGAGCCATTGAAAGCGCTGCTGCCATTGGTATCTTTGAAAACGAAGATCACATCTTGCACTTTGTCTTCGTTCACGTCTTCTACAGCCAGAAACTTGTAGGTCACTGCAGACAGACACAAAGCGGGTGCTAGAGGGCAGGACTGGAGGTACAGTGATCACGCAGCTAACTGGAGGAAAATGCAGCTTCTTAAAAGCCTGACTCTTGCCCTCTCCCTTTGCTTTGGGAAGGCACAGGCAAGTTAGAGGAGCATTCATCTGGGCGAGTGCTTGAACAGCGCCTAGCAAGGCGGCTTTAGGACTGCGATCCCTACGCACCGCCACAAAAACACAAATAAAACCCAACCACAGTATGTCCAGCCGGGACAGAATCCAACCTGTGCATTTAGGAGAGTCAGACGGCTAAGAGACTTCGATACGCTCTGACCTGCGTTCATGTAACACACGGACTGAAGGCATTGCAATGGTCTCGGATGGCTGGCACCGGCACATACAATTAGTGCTCCATCAGTGGAACTCTCCGTTAGGGAGCAGGGCTGTGTGTCCGGTGCTGGGTCAGATCCCTGCTGATGTGCATGTGGCCATGGCTTGTTACACAAGCTCCTCCCCTGAAACTGACGGAGGAGGATTCACGTGGCAAAGCAAACTGCGAGGGGTGTCATGTCAAAGGCCTGGCCCGTGTGGCTGCAACGGAGCTGCATCTAGTTTTTCAGAGGAGGTCAGAAAAAGGCCATTTTAACTCGGGATTACGGGTTGGTCTTCTCTACAGGGTGAATCAATGCTGCAGTGATCGATCCGCCGGTGGTCGATTTATCATGTCTGCTGAGACACGATAAGTCAACCTTCCAGCGCTCTCCCGTCAACTCCGGTACTCCACCGGGACGAGAAGAGTAGCTGGAGTTGATGGGAGAGCAGCCCCCACCAACCCTACTGCGTGGAAGACACCACGGTGAGTAGGCTGACTTCAGCTATGTTCTTTGTGTAGCTGAAGTTGCATAGATTAGATCGATGGAGGAGATGGGCTGTAGTGTAGACTGGTCCATACCCGCACACTTAGGCCTACTTACAAGAAACTCACAATTCTCTCCTTTCACTAATCCAATGATGGTAAAATAGAGGTATCATTTCTGAAGGAGATAGGCCCCTGTAAGAGCTTTTACATTTCAGCTCAAAGGCAAGTAAAGAACATTTTAAGTTAAAGTTCAACCACAATCTAGGTCGATTCTGTAAAAATACCTCCTCAAGCACTGCCCAGTGGACGGCCCCCATCTGCTGCCTTTCTAGCGCTAAGGGCAGCACCTAATTTGTCTATGTATAAAAGATTTCAAACACCTACCAAACGGCCACTCCAATGGTGATGGCCATGGACTATCCACACCAGGGATATTTTCAGCTCACACTCTCACAGGCAACCTCCCTGCAGGCTGCAGTGCAGCCCACCTGTTAGCCAGGATCCTACAATCCTGATTATGAAGGGCACGGGAAAACACGCACTCAGAAACACTCCCACTCACCCGCACTGCTGTATTTTCTGTCCCACGTCCTTTGGGAAACAGGCCTCACTGGACACGGGATGATGAACGAAAAGGCAAACACCACAATCAGGCACAGGAATAAGGAGAGGAAGAAGGCAGCCGTGCGCCAGCGAGAGAGCTGTGACAAGCGGGTGCCGTTCCTGCAGGCACCTTCTTTCTCTGTGCAGTTCTCAGGGTTATCTGGGGCGTTTCCATCCTCCCGCTTCAGAGGGTGGATCTCGGCCTCCAACTCCTTGTTATCCATCCCAGACCACTCCTCAGCATTCATCAGACAGCCGGGGCCACCTGCAGTAACAGAGAGGACAGTGCTACACTAGCTGGTGGATAGATCAGCTCACACCAGGTAGGGAATACTCCGTCGCCGCCTCGGGGCTTGGGATTGGAAAGCACTGAGTTAGTAACCATGGCACAGCAGGAAAAAAACTCAGGGTGTTAAATACGAGCTAAGCAAATATCATCACGTGGTCCCGGCACAACTTCCCGTGAAAGAGGAAAGAACTTTTGGTTCCCACACTGCAAGAAGGGGAGAGAATGAGGAGGAAGAAACACAGCTCCGCTGACAGTCACCTGAAAAACATCACTACTCAGACTGGACACAGCCGCACAGGGATGACTGAGAAGGGCCACCAGCTCTCCTGTATCCTAGATTAGAGGACGCTGATCGGGTCTGTAGATCACCTTTACTGAAGAGCACGCACTGAAAGCGTCCTTCACCGGCACACCGACGCCTGCTGGCTAATACAGATTTCAGTACAAGCCCGGGTCATATCGGCTGAGGGAGACTCTGAGGTTCACGTATGATAAGTGAGAAAGCCGTTCCCTGGGAATGGACACAGGAGTTTCCCCAGGAGAGAGGAACGCAAACACTGAGTCATTCTGCACAGGAGCTAAACAAACCCATTAACCCGTCTCTGAGAAACCAAAGGGCCCCCGCGACACAGCACGGTTCCAGCCTCAGGGCGGGCAAGCCAGGGGGTGGGCAAACATACCGCAGCCTGTGGCATGAAGACCCTTCCCAGAATAACATGAAACTACACTTGGCCAGGTAATATGGGTGAAGCTTTTCTAGCAGCAGTTGAATACATTCAAGGTGGTGGATGCACTAGGCAGGGGAAGGTATTTCCTTCCCAAATCGCCAGCCCAGACTCCGCCCCCCAGAACACCTAGTGTAGGCATATTGAAGGCGGAGCATTGCTGCCCCCAAGCATCCGCCCTCCCCGTGCTCTGGGGCCAGTGAGGCTGGGGTCACACGTCACCTGCCCTTCTCATGGTGCTGGGGGCGAGACCTTGGCAGAAGGGGCGGGGCTGGGGCACTGACTCCCCCAGCCCTACCTTCACCCCCCTGCCCAGGAATAAATTACACAGATACTCCCCCTTGTTCATCCAGTTTTATAGATAGTCAAAAAGTCTGTCAAAGACGTTATTTCCTTTCTGACACTCAGCAAGGACTTTATAACTGGGAACCCCTTATTCAGGCAGCTTCACTGCACCTCTCTTTCACGCATGGCAGAGGAGAGCCGGCAGGGCTGTGGGTGGGGGGGCTAATGCTTTTGCTCCAGGGCACAGGCCACGTCTGTTCGTATGTCTGTATTATAAAGTGCAGGACCCGAAAAGCACTTAGGCCCATATTTGTAACTTCCTCCCCCCTCCCCCCAAGGAACTCACAATCTCATGACTTTACAGCCAAAAGTGCGTCTCATAATGGAAATAAATGGAAAACAGCAGAGACAACAATTAGCTTGGGTGAACTCCTTCCTTTTGCTCTACCAAGGCATCTTTTGTTTCCACGTCGGACTAAACAGAGGCACATTCACGAGACCAGTTCAGCGCCTGTGTCACGGAAGCAAGTCATCAGGTTGGTCTGCTTGTTAATTTATTCCAAAAGCCACAAGAGTAAGAGCTTAAAAAAAAATCAGGCACGTTCCAGAAACCCAGCGCTTAAACCCCACAACCATAATAAAACCCAACTTTGCACCAGGTTAGTTTTCAGGCCTCATTAAACCCGTAGGGGAAAGGGAAGAATGAAAAATACAATGTTCCAGTGGCCTTGAACAAAGGCTGCACGACAGCTTGTCGTAAAAGATTATTTAAGAGCCAATAAACATGACGACAAAGCCAATTTTCCAGAGCAGTCACATGCCCAGGGCGGGTCTGAACATTTAACCTCCATCAGGAGTCTCAGCCGCAGATCTCTCAGTCTCTACGGCCAGTAGGGATCATCACGATCATCTAGCCTGACCTCCGACACATGGCAGGCCACAGACCCTCCGCCGCCCGCATGCAGAGCCAAGGCTATGATTCCGGCACCGGGAAAGTTTTTATTAAGTCACGGATGGGATGCAGGCAACCAACAATAAACCACGGAAGTGTACACAAAGGTGAAGGCTGAGCTGGCCACCTATCACTTAGCTTTACAGGCCCCTGTGGCTTGAGGCCCCGGGGAATTGCTCTGCTCTCGGCCCCCAACACAGTCGCTGGCAACAGCTGTGCACAAAATGGCATCTTAAACGGCAGATTTTAGACGAAATAAGTGTGTGACGGAGGTGCAATCACACAGGTCCCCTAGGGTTGTGCCCCTGGTGCCGGTCATGTCCCGGACGCTCGCCTTCCTGCTCTCTGGCTCCGCACCCCCCTGCCCTGCTGGGCTAGATCCTCTGGTCTCCCCTGCCAAGGCACAGAGTGGGGTTACTGCCCCCCTGCAGAGGATGCAGTGCTAAGGGCTCAGTGCCCAGGAAACCAACCCCCCAATGGGACCAAAACCCCAGAAAAATCCCTCTTACCCTGTGAATGCTTTTACACGGAGAAAGCTCATAAGATGAGCTCTCTATCAATGAAAGAGAGAGATGCACAGTGGTTGCTCTCCCCCAGGCAACAGTGATTTACACCGGGCCTGATGATAAACAAAAGTGTTTTTATTAAGTACGAACAGGAGGATTAAGTGGTTACAGGTGAAACCAGTCAGATCAAGGTAAGTTACTAAATTAAAACAAACCCAAAATGGTGAACTAGATCTAATCCCCTAAGAAACTTGTTACGTGCAAATTCTTACCCTAAACAACTGGTCTTTTAGTTCAGGTAAAAGCTTCAAATCCAGGTGGATCTTTTACTCTGACTTGGGTCCACAGCTTCTGCCAAGTCCTCATAGGGTGAGCCAGGCAGTTTCAAAAGGCAGTTCAAGACAAAAGTTGATTGCTTTCCATTGCTTCCATGGACTTTTCCCCAGGGCGGGAACCCTTTGTTTTTCATCTCCCAGCCCCATGGAAAATTACCAGGTTCAAGACAGATTCCAGTACCAGGTGGCATGGTCACATGTCTTCCTAGGACCAACCAGTCTGGGCTCACAGGACAAACAGGCCATTCACAGGTCATTGATTTGAACACTGAGTCATTAAGTTTCCGGGGCACCAGTAATGGCCCTCATTAGCATATTTAGAGCTACACACAGATCCACACTTCATACTTCTAACTTCCCATGCAAGAATGATGCATGCACAACAATAGAACATACACATTTCACAGACTGACTATAAAATTGATATGTTACACAACCTGTTTTGCTTGAAGTTATGCACATTCATCTGCCAATTTTCACAAAGCGGGGAGGGAATCGCATTTCTCATTTTTGCTTGAATCTAATGTTTTCACCGGAATTGACAAGAACAAACATCCGGGAAAATCACAGAGTTGTTGACCTCTGACAGAATCCTAGCCTTATGCATAAGGCCTCAAATCATGATTTAAAAGACTTCCAGTTAGAAAATCCACCATTCACACAAGTTCAAACTTGCAAGTGATCCAGGCCCCATGCTGCAGAGGCAGGTGAACCCGCTGGGTCTCCACCAATCTGACCATAAGGAAAATTCCTTCCTGACCCCAAATACGGCAATTAGATCCTGAGCACATGGGCAAAACACACCAACCAGAGAGAGAGAGAGAGAGACAGACACAGACACACACACACTTTCCAGTGTTAAAAGGAAACACACAGTCATTGCCTCCTGAGGCCATGGGGCCTTGGGAGCAGATGCTGCATGAACAGGACTGTTTCCTCTCTCAGATCTGGATCAGTGCCTACTCTGCATTTTTCCCCTCTGGCAAGGCGTGTAATAAGGACCCTGTGCACTTCATGCTACAGGACCTGCCCTGCGATGGAAAACCCCAGAGAAGAGGTGGCCCTAGCAGCTTCAGAGAGACGATGCAAGAACAGGAGATTGAGAAGGCCACGTCCATCAGGCAATGCCTGGAGCCTTTCCAGGAGACGTTTTTAACAGGTGACAAATCTCTTCCCAGTCATTGAAGGCAGGAGAAGGGCAATAGATGCCGGGGCGATGGCACCGCCCGCCGCAGCCCCCATCCCTTCACTTGCAGCAACACCCAGCTCAGAAACACGGCCCCAGCATTTGCCTCCCTATTGGGGCAGGACTCTCAGGGCAGGTCCACAGGACAAGCTGGCAGGGGCGCAGCTGGGGACGATGCTCTGAGCCAGGGATACAGCTCCGCCGCCGCCGGAGCCAAGCGCCGGTGCAGGCCCAGCCCACGGCAGTGCAGCCACGTCGCTCAGGCTGTGGATTAGCCACCTTCTGAAGGGCAGCGCAGGGCCCCCGGCTCAGCTTCACACACAGCCGGGCAGCAGCGCGTTAGTGATGATACGGGAGAGCTCTCACTGGCGTACTCTGGGGAGCCAACTGCCTCTGCAGGCCCCCGGGCAAGGCTGAGGGGGGCCGGCCCTATGCTCCCAGAAAGGGCGTGGCCTCAGGTGGAAGGGGCGGGGCCTTGCAGCCTGCCCAAAGCGCACTAAGCCAGCCTCCCTCCTCGCCCAGAGCACCCAGTGCAGTGATCCAGCAGCAATTTAAAGGAGCTTTGGGCCCCTTTGAATCACTAGCCCCGAGGCAACTGTCTCCTTTGCCCCCCACCCCTCAGTGGGCCTGGGCGCAGTTAATCCACCTCCCTGAGAGGTGGTAGCTGAGTCGACAGAGAAGTTCTACTGTCTACACGGGGGCAGGGCCCTACACCTCACCGAGGGGCATGAAGAACGTAATTCTGACAGGTCGGTAGGGCAGGCCTGGCCTCCTGCAGCTAGAGAGCCCAGCGGAAAAGAGCAGAGAACAGCCCAGCTCTGCTCTTGGGAGCACAAAGGAACCCGGAGCCAAAAGCAAAGCACAGCCCTGCCACAGCCTCTGCCAGCAGCGAAGAGCCAGGGACTCCCAGCTGCTCCACTAACCCCAAAGGGGTTCAAGGCAGGCCAAGCAGCTACTTAAACGCTGCCCCGTCGTCGGCACCTCCGCTCCTCCCACAGACTCCGCCTCGCTGCTCAAAAGCGGCTCCTTCCCTGAAATCTCACTCGTGCCCTGGACTCTGGAGCTCCGGGGAGCGAGACGTAAGGCTAAGGTTTGGTCACAAGTATTTTAGTGGAAGTTATAGACTGGTCACAAGCAAAAATTCACCCCCGTGACCAGTCCTTGACTTCTCTCAACACCCCCGACTCCGCTGCTCTGCAGGGCCCAGGAACCAACCCAGCCACTAGGCCCTGCTTTGACAGGGGAGGAGGGGCTGAAAGCCCCCCGCTGCTCTGAGAGCCTCCGAAGTGGCCTGGTACCCCCTGCTGCTCCAGGACTGCCACTGGGGCAAGTGGATCTGGGGGCCGCCGGAGCAGCTGGCCCTATGGCCAGCTTGAGCCGCACTGACTTCTGTGCCAGACGAGCAGCCTTAGCAACACGTATCAAACGCTGTACGAAGAGCTGTTTGGCTGTGATGGCTCCATATCCTATAGTGGGGGGGAGGGGGAGGATCATTTTTGATGGGGGGGA